AGGAGCTTGACGAATCAGTCTATAGAGATGGCATTAATAGACTGGAACACCGCTATGAGAAATGTATCAGCCTTGGAGGAGATTATGTTGAGAAATAAAAAAAAAAAATTTTTAAAAACCTTGTTTTTCTTGGTCAGGCCGGAAACTTATCAATCCACCCTCGTATTTTGTACTACTTTCCTGTAGGTTCTTTGAAAACTGCAAAGATTTTTTGTTGTCTTCGAGTGTTTAGTAGAAAAATTATAGAAAAACTAGAATTAGAAAAGTTGAGTTTTTTTAACAAATGTGGCCCCGAATTTATAAAAATTTGATTTGTAAGTTATTAATGATTCTAATGCTTCATAATCTTTATATATGAGAAATACAAATATTTATTTGAATTGTATAATACATGATGAAAAAATTGACAAAATGGCCTCTTTATATTTTAATACGACACGACCTCAAATAGTATGTTTATGTAAAAAAAAACTTTTAAATGTTTTGCTTAATATGACATGTACTTTTATGATACACTTTACTTGCGGGTTTATTTTTAAGACAGTGTTTTTTTCCTACAAATGTTTTTTTTGTAAATTGTTTCCTTGAAATATAAGAAAATGACTTTTTTCAAAAACCCTTTGTTTTTTGCATTTAACTGTACTTAAGTCATATGGCTATAGGCACATATATCATCTACCTATAGTCATTTCTAAATATAAAGGTTAAAAATAAGTTCAGCAGAAAATATTTATGATTTTTGGGGGAACGTTTTGTGTATATCTGTCTAATAAATGTTGTATATCTGTAAAATTCAAGGCTGATCTGATTTCAACATTTCGCTAAAGAATTTTGCATATTTGTCTTTAATAAAGATAAACAAACTTTTTAAATGTACATATAGTAAATTTTGTAGTAGGTTGGTTTCTTTTTGTGGAAAATTCTACTGGTGCCGTTTACACTAAAGGGCATAATATAAAATATGTTTTCAGAGATGAAAAAACCGTAGCTACCATTTGTTTTTCATGGTTTTGGATAGTAAGTTTTTCAAGAGTGACAAGTGTTTTTGAGTTAAATTTAATTTTGAGATTTGGTATCTATTATAATTTTCCAACGAACTTCTAGAAGTCATCTCCACATTATAATTTTAATTTTGTCAAGCGGTGTTCAGAAGGGTTCTATTTTATTTTTTTAAGGTACGGTACCGGTACCCTAGAAAATATACTAAACGGATGTGGGTATTGAAGGAATCGTGTTTGTTAAAAAGTCGAATTTTTGCTTAAAAATATTTAGAAATTCATTATTATTAATGATTTTATTGATACTTAGGTCTAAGTAACTTTACTTGAGTAATATATCTGTTTGTTTTTAATGTAGGGACAGGGTACTTATGGTAAAACGCAACCAACAGCTGCTAGTCAAAAGCTTATGAGTAGTAGGCAACCCACTTACAGCAATTCAACATATGATAGGCAACCACCTCGAACAGCAGGCACAACAGGACCGTATGGTGAAAAACGATTTAACAACAATTTGAACGAGTTGGACACATTATTGAAAGATTTAAGCAATGGAACGTATGCAAACACGACAGGTAAGTGCTACCAACTATGTTTATGTTACAATTCATCAGTGCAGATACCGTGGGATTTTTCATCTGTTATGAGTGACTACTTTTGTCGTAATTAGAAATTTTAAGGAATAATTTTTTTTCGCAAATAGTTGAATGCTTGGAAAATATGTACATAATGATCAACTAACAAGCAAATTGAAAAGATAACACGGAGAAAACTAAATTTTTATGACAAAGCAAAGATTACCAACAACCGAATTTGACCTAGAAATAGTAGACTTTATTAGGTAACTTGTAATAATCTCAACTTTGACATGTTTTTTTTTTAATTATTTCAAGTTTCTTAATTATTACAATTTAATTTNGGGAGGGATGGATTGTCCATCTACTAGTATTAGTAAGGTGCTTATTTAAGTGAAACAGTTGTTTAAATAAAAGTTAAAATTGAAACCCTGCTTTTGTTTTGTTAAATGCAGGGAGAAAACTAAATTTTCATGACAACGCAACAATGACAATTTTCGATTGTAAATGACTGAATTTGCCGTAGAAATAGTAGAATTTATTAGGTAACTTGTAATAATCTTAATTTTGACATGTTTCTTTAAAAAAAAAGTTTCAATTACAATTAAATTTGTAATATCAACTAAAATACCTAGTAAATTTATTTCTGATGGGATTTTATTTTTACAAATTCGGGTCCAAATTGTAATATCGCTTTAATATTTAGGTAAATTTTCCTTTTTCATTTTCTCCGTGAATTTGAAATAAAGAAATACATAATTCATATACATGATATGATGAAATATCGATAATTTTGAATACAATTGTACCAATATTTAATAGAAATACCAGTTAAAGTTGAGAAACACAATTATTCATATAATGGCTCCGACGGTGGTAGTAAAAGTCCTGCAAGCTATTCGAGACCATCGAGTGCTCAAAGTACCTTGAATAGACCATCAGTTGACAGTCTTTTAGACGAATTAAATGCAGGGTAAGTTGTTTATAGAACAATTCCTTATCATACAAGGAATGGTATATTTAAAAGGGGGCAGACGTTACATGTATAAAGTGAAATTTTAGTGAAGTGATTTATACGGGACCCAAAAAGGTAACGATCACTGTCAAAGAAACCAGAACCGAAACTGGATTTCCGGCCGAAACTGAGCTTATTTCAACAGAAGTGACAGCAACACATGCTCCAGCAGCTTCTTCAGCCACCAGGGAATTAGACGACTTAATGGCAACCCTTTCTGATTGCAAGGTAAGACACTGCTTGTCCTTTTCACGTAGTTTAAATAAAAATCGACAAATAAAATCAAATGTTCTTGGGAGTCAAATCTGAACTTTAGGGTAGATTACATATTAAATAAAAATCGATAAGAATTGTACATTATATCACATATGAAACAGTTTGAGTGTTAATAATGGCTAATATCTCAAATATTAATATTTAATATTCTTGGGGGTCTAATTTGGACTATATGCTAAGGTATTTGCTTATTAAATGACACTTGATAATAATAATTGTACATTGTTAGGGTAAGGAGTAGGTATATTAAATACAGGGCGATAAGAATTATAGATTGTATCGTAGATGTTCTTAGGTGATAATGCTGGACGGCGCATGAAACCTTATTTTGTAGTATTTTATTCTATTTTAAAATTTATCTACTCTTATTAAATTTCACTCTCTGCAAAAATTGGGTAGATTATTTCTTTTTTTATTTTTTTTTGCGGAATGTTAAACATTTAACGGAGCATTAAAAATGTCGTTACCTTTAGAGAGTACTTAATATTTTTGGCACTTGTTATGTGCTCACCTTTATTCATGCCAAAACTATCATGTAAAGTTCGAAGGAATATAAGTTTTGAAAGCCCGCATCTGGCTGTTTATTGCATCTGATTTTAGTCTCTTGTCTTCTTTAACATTTCTCATTAGTACAGTATACGGTTATTTGAATTTAATTATTTTACTCTAAATGAAAGTTTTACACAGGAGTGTAAATCCTAACTAATATTACTTATAAATTTATTTAACTACTTAGCCAATCATCATGAAATTTTATATACACATAGGATATATTTTATCCAGAAAAAAAAATTGTTTCCGAGGGATAGGAAAAAATTAGTTTTATGTACTTTTCGATGATCTTTGACAATAGGACATCAATGCGAGCGAAGTCCCGTATAAAATCTAGTCAACTAATGATGTTCACGGACTCCTCATCCATGTTTCTACATTATTAATGATTGGCCCCATTTTATAAATCTGTTTTACTCAAATTTCAGTTTCTTTCAATGTCAGATTTTCAATAATAGTTTGTTTCGAGCATCCAAATTATTTGTTTCAATTTTTAGCCAGCTAGAAATGGGGCGAGGCTATTGAAAACCTTTTAGAAATTTAATTCAAGTGAAATTGTGGTTAACAAGTTTCAAAATTGTCATTAAATAAGGCGTTTTGTCGGGGCCGGGGCGAATTTACCATCGTAGTAACAATACTATCTCGCTCTACTACACGGGAATGATTTTGTTCTGGAATAATTAAATATATACATGGAAAGATAGAGATACATTTCCTCAAAGAATTAGGATACAGCTTTTGAATACAGAAATAGTATCCGGATACTATCCATATCTGTCATGGACGACATTATAATAAATTCAGTAAGGACAGGAAAGACATAAAAATTGGTCAATTGGTCACAGCAGACAAAACTTAAAAATACATATACTCTTTTGTCAAGTCCATCGAGAAGTAGGAGTTATTGTCTCTGTTAAATCTTTAATTCTGTACTACAGTAGAACCTTTATAACTCGAACGTCTAGGGAAACGCCAAAAAAATGCGAGTTATAGAGTTTTCGACTTATGGAGGATTTTGACTTGTAGAGGCTAAGATTTGGTGTACTTACATTGTCAGCAAATCCTTAAAGTGGTTTTCTTCGAACTATAGACGTAATAAGTTTCAAATTATCGAGTTTTAAAGGTTGTAAAATAAAACATTGCTATGTTCGAGATAGGTTGGTAGTACACCGTCTTAGGCACGAAAGTCTAGTCAGAGACATATTACAGGCAGAAACAGGAGTTAGAAGGGGTAGATGGTAGACCTAGATAAGACGACTGTTCGTAAATAGTTAAAGATGTGGGCTGTTCTAGTTTTAGGGAAATGCGAAGTTTAGCTCGGGATAGGAAAGAGTGGAGGTACGTGTCCAACCAGTCTTAGGACTGACGACCTTATGATGATGATGATGTTCGAGATACAGAGGTCCAATTTAATTTTTCGAATTATAGAGGAATAATATGTACCAAAATCGCTTGCAGGGATTCACTGATTATTTCGACTAATAGAGGGTTAAGATTTCGAGTAATGGAGGTTTTGGGGCTTGAAGGGAAGGGAACAAAAATTTTTTTCTAGTTTTGGCGCTTTTCGACTTATCGAGGTTCAACGTAAAGAGGTTCTACTGTATTACTTATTCATTTATAACATCCTCCGCGCTCTTTTTCAGCAAATAAGTACATACAACATTATACTACCTTCACCCTAAAGCTGGTTGTGTTCCCTATCTTATGTAATACTTAAATGATCCCCTACAGTGTATTTAAAAGAAAAATGGTTTCTCTTTCAAATTGTATGAACTTTCTAACTGTGCGGTCCAGTTCAATTTTTGTGTCTGTTTTTAATGGGTTAATTATAGAAATGGGTAAAAGTTATACTTAGGTGTACATGTACCACATAAATTACAACTACTTGGGGCGCATTTCATCCAAACTGAAATTTGGACGACTTTCTTCTATAATTAGGCCACGCTAAAATTGTAATTCTATATTTAGACACCCATGTTTTCAACACGTTACACTTAGTTACCAAAAACTGTTTTTACCTTATTTTCGTAAGATGAAATCGATGTGGCCAACAACAAAGACATTATTTATTTCTCGATTGACAAAATAAGGCACATTTCGAGTGTACTAGGCATATTACAAATGAAAATATTCTTATATGTATTTGTAACCGCAAGTATTTCATCAATCATCAAAATCGAATTCATCTTTCAAGATATACCTATAACACGCTTTGTCGTCTAGGTATTTATAGGTCCACCTGTTAAAATGAATTTCAACTGTTTTATTTTCGAGCACGAAAAAAGGTACAATTTAAACAACCAATTTTGATGAAGTATTCATTATAAAGATGACCTTTCAATGATTTCTCCTTTTGCTATTGAAAAAAGTAGCTTTTTCTTTTGCTACCATTTCTACAAATGAATTTTCATATTAGTACAGCAAATATACGGAGTCTTTTATGAAATAGTGCTAATAGTAAGTTGAGGGAGATATTGAACTTTATCGACTTTAATGTTAAGTGATTCTAACAGTTTCGGATGTTGTTTTTTGGTACGATTTGTATTTTTGACTTTTTAATTTTGTATCAATTTAGGGTTATTTGAATAGTCCTTACAGTTTCCAAACTAGTCCTTAGGGCTTCATGTACGATGTATATTTTAATTTAGTGGTAATTTTTATGAGCGAAATTCGAAAATTTACGTCAGTGAAAAGGTATCGACAGCTAACTGAATGATTGAGATTCTATGAATAAAAATTGTCTCACAGGGAACATAAATGATTATTTATGGATTGATGGTATAAAAAGCGATCAATTTCGAAAATTTAATTGACATGTTATCATCGTCAGAATTAATATTTTCGTGTGCAAGAGGGACATGCGTGTGCCAAAAGACTACGGAGATCAGACCGTATTATGTACTCACATAATTTATCTAAATATAGTCTTATTATGATATATTTGTTCGTGTGAGTTTATGTACAGATTTAAAAATAGGGCGGGAATTAATATGAAAAAGACGGAGATATCTGGCATAAGTTCCTTTTCTATTTAATGGAAATATGTGCGTGGATTTATGCATGCGCGAGATGTTTGTAGGTAGGTGTAGTAATTCTAAAGATATTTTTGTGGCGATTTTCCGTTGAAAGAGGGAAGGGGAATTAGTGGGGAACAACGCGGTTTCGTCCACCAAAAATTGCCGCAACCGGGTCAGTTTGTCGCAGGGTTTATTAAGAAACGGTTAGATAATTTAATTTCTTTTTTTTTTTTAATCCTATTTAATTTAAGTACATATACAATAAATTCTATAATAGTAACAGTTTATTTTGTATATGCATATAACTAATTATTTCTGCTGCAGATAAATTCAGGAGGTCTACAACATCAGACCATATCTGATTCCCAATACGCACGTCCCACGAAGGCGTCCCATTCATCCGAGAACAACTTAGATTCTATGCTTGGAAACCTGCAGGCAGACATGAGCCGTCAAGGAGTTAACACAGACCAGAAAGGTTGCTGCGGAGCCTGCGAAAAACCCATCGTCGGTCAAGTTATAACTGCACTGGGTAAAACATGGCACCCAGAGCATTTCACCTGTGCCCATTGCACTCAAGAATTGGGTACCAGGAACTTCTTTGAACGGGATGGAAAACCATATTGTGAACCAGATTACCACAATCTCTTCAGTCCCCGTTGTGCTTATTGTAACGGACCCATTTTGGATGTACGTTTTGGATTTTTGGATTTGGAGTCCATGGTGACGTTGAATAAATTGTCGTTATGTTACAGAAATGCGTAACAGCTTTGGATAAGACATGGCATATGGAGCATTTCTTCTGCGCCCAATGTGGGAAACAGTTCGGCGAAGAAGGGTTCCACGAGAGGGAGGGCAAGCCCTACTGTAAGGACGATTACTTCGACATGTTCGCCCCAAAATGCGGTGCGTGCAGCAGGGCTATTATGGAAAATTACATATCGGCGCTTAATGCACAGTGGCACCCCGACTGCTTCGTTTGCAGGGTAAGAGTCGTTATTTAAAAGTTTAACGTTTTCTTATTTTCAGATCCAAAAAAGACGGATAAGTCCGACACGGCCAAGAAGGCCTAAGCGAAACTCCCTTTGGCAACCTCCCCCAACTAGCATCGTAACATTGAAAAAAGTTTAAGGAGTTCACCCTTACTTAGACATTTTTTTATGTTACTATCTTTCTCTCTCTTGTATTCAAATGCACCCCCTTCCGAACAAACAACTACTTGAGTGGCAGTACTATATTTTTGTACTATAATAGTTTTGTATTCAATTCCCAAGTCACACAACACATTCACTCAAACACAATGAGCGATTAATAAAATATATAATATTTTGTCCCTGAGTTTTTCGCAAAAAATTCGCCCGCTCCCCGTCCCCCTTAGCATTATACTGTTGCTACGAAGTAAAGGTTATAAATTTGATTTTTACTAGGACTGCAAACTGCCCGTACAAGGAAAATCATTTTATGCGATCGAAGGCAAACCAGTTTGTCCCAAATGTATCGGAGTTGACGAAGAGGAACCGGAAGAGGAAGCTTGAATCTTATGCCCCCAACCCTATAAAAAAAAATATGCCCCCTTTTATGTCCTTTAATTATATTGTGAGAGCGGCAAACGAAACAAAGAGTATAGATTATTGTTTGTATAAGTTGTAATAAATAAAGAAAACAAAAAAAATGAAAAAATAAAAATTAAAAATAAATAAAAAAAATGAAACGGTGATGTGTGCTTGCTTGTCTGCCCTATTTTTGTGTTTTCCTTGACCTGTTTTTGGGATATTCGTTTTTTGTAAGAATAGAATTTGTTTATTTCACAATAAGATCGGCAGCACACACCTGTTTCTAAACAAAAAAAATATGAAAACAAATACAAAAATAAACACTGTTGGCGCAAAGTGGTACCACCTGCGGTGGTCGATCTTTCTAAACGTGTTTCTATGTTCGACAGTCTGTACTTAACACCTGTTATTATTTCTTATTGAAGGTTTTCAAGAGTCATAAAAATTTTGGTTTCCTATATTTCTGAACGATACCGTTTGATTGTGCAATATAAAACTAATAAATCTACAGCACAAAATATAAATCGTATATTAGCCCACAAAAGACTATGAAAAATATCTGTCTACAAAGTTCTTATTGACTTATTGTGTAATTAATGCCTAATTAATATTGTAATTGCCTCCCAATGTTTAGCACTTGATATATGTTCAGAATTTTCCATTTTCTTTCGTTTAAAATATAAACGTTCCGAAAAAATGTTTCATAAATCGCTCAANAGTACCATCCTTGGATAGCTTGTAGCTATAGTTTCAGCCCGATCTCCTTGCTAGTGTAGGTTTGACAGCACGCTGAACAAGACGCCTCTGTGGTTTTCGTAAAAATGGAAAAGCATACCGTTTAGATTGACTTAGATTGTTTATAACATTTCCAAAATAATTTAGTTGGTATATGAAGGAATTCCAAAACTTGATGCATTTAATCTATTTTAGGAACAATCCTGGCATGTTTGGCCTATGTTTTCTTTTTCTTGATGTGCCAAACGTTCATGTTATGTAGACAGATTACAACTGTGATGTCAAACCATATATCGATATTTTAACGTATTACATACAAATAATGAAAGAATGACTATTGTTTATGTCTTAATTTAGAGAAATTGCGTTTACATAGGTTTCTTCTGTTACATTTTAGGAAAGTTGAATCTTTCGGTATTTCTTAGACTTCTCCAGTAATCACAATTATCATACGAGCCATACGATTTAACACTTTATGTAAGTCATTAGCATGTTATTCCAGAGTATGTATGCAATATTGTTGAAATTGTATAATATTCACACGTTAGTTTACCGAGGCTTCTAATACTACACTGCAATGTGACGCCCTCCAGGGAAGAATATTATTACTAGTAGTCTCCGAAAAAGTATATTAAACTAATGAAAAAAAATATCCAAATTTTTGCTTATACAGACAAGTGAATCAACTTGGGGAATCCCCTAAAACATGGCTTTGTAAGATAAAAGGGTATTGCCCAAAAATATTACATTTTCTACATACAAACCATGGGAAATAACTACTTTTCTCAACGTTCACCAATGACCTAATTACCGATCCCGTTTCGTTTTCGTACAACCCTAAAAAAATGTATAAAATACCCATCATAAGGTCCTCAGTCCTAACATTGGTTGGACACGCACCCCCACTCCTTCCTATCATGAGCTAATCTTCGCATTTCCCTAAAACTAGTACATCCCACATCCTTAACTATTTGAGAACAGTAATCTAATCTAGGTCTACCTTTACCTCTCTTAATTCCACTTTCTGCCTCTAATATGTCTCTAACTAGACTTTCATGCCTGAAAGGATGTCCTACCAACCTATCTCCCCTATTTTTATTTACTTCCATAGAGCCCGAGTCCTCTGTTCTCCTATTCTTTCTAATACCTCTTCATTTCTAACCTTCTCTATTCACGGTATCCTCATCATTCACCGGTAACACCACATTTCGAACGCTTCTAACTTTTTCTTTTCCACCGCTGTCCATGTTTCGCACCCGTAGAGCGCCGTGCTCCAAACACACACCTTTAATAATCTTTTTCGAATTTCTAAATTAACCGTTCGTGAGCATAGAAGTAACTTCTTTGTATTGAAGGTGACTCGACCCTGCGCTATCCTCTGCTTTATATGCCTACCACTCCTTCCATTTATCAGACTTCCTAGGTACCTAAAATCAGCCACATCTCCTAATCTTTCGTCTCCTATCTTTATATTCGTTCTTTCCTTACTTTTACTTCCCTTGCATACCAGTATTTTTGTTTTACTTGTATTTATTTTCATATAATCTGTTTTGTCAATACCGCTTCCATTCTATTTAAAGCTGTCTCTAACTCCTCCTTGCTAGATGCTAATACTGCTTTATCATCTGCAAATTTAATCTTTTGCCCCTCTATATCTATCCCTACAGTTCTACAGTTAATGTTGTTCGCGTTTTCGATGTATAGATTAAAAAGTAGCGGTGACAGTGTACATCCCTGTCTGACTCCCTTCCTAATATTTACTTCTCTACGTTGCTGTTCCAGCTCTGTAATTGCCTGTCAAAAACAAAATACCCGGTATAGTAAATTTCAAGATCAACCGGGTATCGTATAGCTCTGTGTAAAGTCGACGCTCACAAACACACAGTTTACGTGATACATAGATAAAAGTGCCGTGTGCAAAGTTCTCCGTTTCTTGTCTGTAAACACTTTCCGTCTCTGTTCGATTTCAAATCAACCACGTATTGGCATCTCTTTCCATTATTGTAAAATTTGTTCTAACCATAACGGGATCCACGGACGTCCACTCGAACACACACACGTAGATGCATCCGTCTCTACGTCGAGCGTCTCGACGCCGCCGCTGCTGCATGACTAACGCCAACTAATTTTACTTTTTACTAATACCTTTTTACATACATTCAAACATCCCGTATTTACACACGTTACGCATATTAAAATCAGTGATGGTCGAATTTTCGATTTTAAAATATTTCAAAAAAAAAAATCTAAATTTAATTTCCCAATGGCAACCGCAAAATTAAAATAAATGACATATTATAAATACACATTAGCATGCTTTGTTTAGCATAAATTATACTTTACAGACGATAAGTATTTGTACTCAAAACTGTTCCTTAATATATCGTTTTCCTACAAATAATGCACAGTATATTTTAATATGCTAGATAATGTGCATTTGCCACCGAAAATATTAAAATCGTTCAGTACAGTCATATGGTTAATACTTACTACATAAGTTGTGCGTGAATCTAGACTTTGACCACTTGTTGAATATTAGATGCAACAGGTGGTTGCTCATCAACAGGTAGTTGCTCAAGAAAAATACGTACTTACTTAGTTGATATTCTTTTTGAACGAATTGCATAATAAGGACGTAGTACGAAAAAGCTGAAAGTACTCTTATTTATATTATTAATGTTATTAGGTAATTCTGTTAATAGATTATCTATTTGCAATATTGTAAATGTCTAAAAAGTTGCGCAGTTATAAAACGCCCACGATTCATTAAGAATCTACGCTTTTTTCGTACAATAGTAATTATGCTTATTTATGTTTTGTGTTTTATGATCGTGTGGGATGAAATAGCTATTGTTTTTATTATTATATAATTGACGTTACATTTCAAACTTAAGTCGAAAGAGTATTATACATTTTAAATTATCTTCGGTGTACATTTTGGTCTCATGAATCCAGAAATTGATAAACATGTAAAATATTTTACGAATCCGACAGCACCTATTTAAAATTAAAAATAACTAGTATTGCTCTACGAGGGTGGATTGATAAGTTTCCGGCCTAACCAAGAGATGACGCCACTAGGCCTACCTTGAGGTGACATTCTATAGTACCATCCTTGGATAGCTTGTAGCTATAGTTTCAGCCCGATCTCCTTGCTAGTGTAGGTTTGACAGCACG